CCTATTGTTGATTTAAATATTAAAAAATTCTGTTCTAAAAGATTGAACAATTTTGTTAATTGAATTCATAAGATTCATAAATATTAAGATATTACCTGATATCAAAATAAAAAATAGATAAAATAAAAAGAATACGGAAAAATGAAATCAAATTAATAGAAACATCACATTAATGATATAATGAAGATAATAAATTAGCAACTGAAAATGATGATATTTTGTTATAAATTCCTTCCTATTCTACTATATTTAAAATTTTGTAAAATCATGATTTTACACTTAATCTTGATTTAGAAATTATCTAATTAATAGTTACAATTTTATATTTTATCTTTTCTATTATTTGGAGATAGGTAAATAGCATAGATTAGGTAGTTAATAGAATTCATATTCAAAATTGTAGATAAAGTTCTATTAATTTGATGATATACTTAATAAACATAGATATAATCAAAAAAACTGAATTTTCAGGCTCTTAATTAGCTCAAAATTAAGTTAAAGACATATAAATATTTTTATGCCTATTTGAAATGCAAAACAGTAAAAGATAAATTTTAAATATTTATTAATATATTTCTAGAATGGACTGCTCTACTATTATTAAATAAGGACATAATAATAAAAAGAGAAAGTGTTTTCTGAACTTAATAATCAAGATGCTCTCTTTATTAACCTTAACATGAAAATTTCAAGAGAAAACTATAAGATTACTATAATCTATATCAAAATTTTAAATTTAGAACTATTTTCACATAAATCTTACTAAATTCACTAAGACAATCTATTTAGCATTGATATTTGTTCAATTTTATAATTATTTAATAAATTTAAGAATGCTTGGTTGTCTTTCAGATATTTCTTACTCTGATAAATATAAAAATACTGAATTTGAATATAGAAATACAATATCACCTCCTAAGATATATAATAAATCTATAAAATTAGACTACTTCTTACTGAATATGAATGGAGAAGTCTTAGCATAAAGGATCTCAAGGATAGATTAATTATGATTATTATAAATCAGAACCACATTATCTCATGCTTAGAAAAACGATTAATTGATTTTATCATCCATATTAAATAAAAATATAAATTTTTTATCCTTTTTATTATAATCATCAATCTATTGTCTTATCAGATCTATTTATACTATAAGAATCATCTTAGAGGATAAAATATAAATAATAGCAAATCTAAAATGAATCAAAATTCAATGATCAACAAAGATATTAAAAAATTTATAACACAAGTGTTAAATAAATTTATTATTTTGAAAGTATATCAATTAAAACTAAAATGGTTAAATAATAGTCTGATTTCTATTTCACCACTCTTTATACATAAGCTTTCCAATTTTTAAAGGGATATTTCATAATATTTTTGTAAGTTAAATTTCCATAGATATAAATGAATCTAAATCTATATAAAAAGGGTTAATACATATTAATCTATAAAATAAACCTTAATCCAAGTAAGTATATTTCAAGTTGAAATTTTTATTCATTTGAGCTTTCTAATTACAATTTTTGTATTAAGTATTTCATTTAAGAATCTTAATTAAAACTTAAAATGATAAACATGTGCTAAAATAAGAAGTACTTATTAATTTTTTACTTTTTTATTCAATTTTAATATAAATCATTTCTCCAATATTAAATATTCATTAAGTACATTAATTAAAGTAATAGCAACACATTTAATTTTTAAGTAGTAGATTATAAAAAATGTTATGATTGATAATAATTATCCAAAATTAAATAAATTATAGTATTTTAAGTTTAGATTATCTTTTAAAATAAAAGTTTATTAGCCGAAATAACCAATTCATGATAAAAGTATAATTAAAGATTTCATGAACTAGTTGCTTTTGGTTTTCAAAATTTTATTAGTGAATTGCTAAAGATCTAAATAATTAATAAATATAAATAATTTACAGTAGATCAATTTTAAAATCAGAAATATGACGCTTAAATAATAAAAGACATGGATGTAGTAAATTGATCATTTTAAATGGATTTTATTTAATAACTTTTCAAAAGATTATAAAATTAAGAAATTTAATCATGTAATAATAAACATGCTAATTTCAAATTGATATTACTTAAATTTGTCTATATGTGTTGAAATAAATTATCATGAAATAAATATAATGGAAATGGTATGAAGATTGGTAATTACATTTGTTATTATGATAATATACAATAACAACATTTAGGAAGTATGAAATCAAAAAGATAAAAAGAATTTGACAATAAATTCTCTTAATTTTTTTTACTTTTTTGTTTAAATTAAAAAAAGAAAAATTGGAAAATGGATTGATTTGCATGAAAAATTAGTACTCTTGTTATTTACCACATTATATTCATAATAAATATGCACAATTTTAAGAATATATAGAAGTAACTTTTTTTTTTGTTCCTTAAATATTATTACTCTGACATAGATAGTAAAAATATAAATAGATTTCTTTTTTCTATGATCATGACATTAAAGAAAGAACAACCTCTTTTATATAAACTAAAAATAAGAGAATAGCCTATTTTGCAGTAGAATTTAAATACAATGCTTTTCTCTACTCATTCTAAGTTTAAAAATTTTAATATATTTCAAATATCATCAGTTAATATTTTATCATTCTAAAAATATAGCCACTATCTATTTAAAGAAAATATCCAATTTATATCTTTTGAGATTTTAATTACTTAATGCTCAATATTAGGGATGTTTAAAAATAATGAAATCAATATTCATATTGATCCTTTATAAATTTAAAATTCATTAAATTATTTAAAATAATAGAAAGAGCATTTATAATGTAAATATTGGTTAAAATATAGACTTAATAAAGATCCATTTCTGAAAAATGTTTGATTAAAATAATATATTTATTAGCCAAATTTAAATGTGATTCTTAAGTTGATTATATCCAAATTCTTTTCTTTAAATAAAATTTATATAAGCATTTTATATTTGCTGTCACATTCTAATATTTATTATTAATGTTGAATTTTAAAAATCAGATATTAAATTAAATCATTCCTTTCTCAGCTTAAATTGAAGTTTAGATAATAATAATCATATTATTCTCAGATATAACTTAGATTATTTATTCTATTTAAATAATCTTATGTTTGTCATACTAAATGAGAGTTTAATTCTAATGATGTAATTCAATAAAAATATAATACTTATATAGATCTTAAATTGTTATAAAGATTTATTTTTTATTTTACTTTTTGATTACAATAAGGGATAATCCTTTTTATATTTGGACCTCAAAAAATTCGTTCTTTACTGTTATTTATTGAAAGTAAATGAATAAAGAGTTAATTAAATAGTTGAATATAATATAAGATTTTTATATTGAATACCCTATCAAATGTAAATGGAAAATATTAAAAATTTTTAAGAATGTAATTCTTTTTGAAAATATGGCATTTTATAGATAATTTTAGATAAAATTAAATTGAAATACTTATTGTGTATGAAATTAATAAGAAAATACAAGATTTTATAAAAATGTTAAATATTAATATGATAGATACTAATCAATATATTGTTTTCTTTTTCAATTGTTTTTTTCTTTATTTACTAATAAATCCAACATACTCAGATACTTATGATTCATCTTAATTGATTTTATAATCCCAGGAATCATCATTCAAAAGATTAATAGATAACTCTACTTATTAATTAAATGATTCTTCAAATTTAACATCAAATTATGGTGTTTAAAACCATTGTTAATCATCTTAGCAAAATGCACTTGTTTAATAATGTTAATTATTCTCTTCAGATTTAATTGAGGTAGGAATTTGTGATTAATTAAGATCTTGTTATTAACTTGAAGTATTATCAGAATTATTTTAGTTTGTCTCTGCATTTCTTTTATCCAACATTTCTAAAAATTTTTGTTTTTAAAGAGTATTTAACATTCCTTTCTTAAATAAAATTTCATTAACTAAATATTTGATATCATAGTTTCTAATAAACTCATCTTACCAAGCTTTTGAAGCCTTAAAGTATTTATCATTAAATAAAGACAATGCTTAGTCTTTTAATTAAGTTCTTCTCACTCTTTTACCTTATTTAGCACTCTATTCAATAATCCAGAGACATAATTTCTTCTCTGCTTCTAAATTAAGTTTTTTTCTACCACAACCTGGTTTTCGATTTATACCTTCATTATACCATCTTCTAAGATTTTTTATTGATGTATTATATTATGCACTTAGTGTAGATAATGTATCGATTGTGTTATTATATTACAAAACTTTCATTATTTTTTACTTATCTTCTAAGCTGATTATTCTGTATTTTTTTGATGATAACTCTAATTTTGTATTCTTCTAATTGTTTTCTGTTTAAGACATCCAAATATTTATATTATTTATGATTAACCGCTCATTGTTATGATTCCTAAATTGCATCAAAAAAGCATGGGAATATTTATATCTAATTCTAATCAATTTAAAGGGATGATCATGAAAGTAATAATAATCCTATTGATAGTGTATGTGAACATTATATAGTGTCTTAGACATACATTTTATAGAACAACATTGATTTACAAGCTTCATATGATACTTCCATATTTTAATAAATATTTTAATAGGTGAAAAATGTTTGAAAATAATGCAATGAAACATAATCAGATATTTAAGGATTATGATCTTATTATATGATTTAAGTATTGAAAATTCACCTTTTATAAAATTTTGTATGATATGATATTTATGTATGTATGTATGATGTTATTAATGTTATGTTTCTTTAAAATGTGGATTTTAAAGAAATTTTATTTTATTTAATATATTTTGTGGATCATTTTATAAATGATTTATATATAAATCAAGTTTTTATTTTTTGTATTATTAAGAAATTAAATAATATACATTATTTTAATTTTATAAGTGTGTTATGGTTGTGAATGTTTAAAATTTATTATTAGGAAAACTAAAATATAGTATTCATTTTGATAAAAATAAAATCACATTTATGAAAACATTGAATATAATATGTAAAGTATTTATTGAATTTAACTTTATGATAAGGTAAAAAAGAGTTCTAAAATTATAATAATTGAAATAAATTAGATAAAAATATACAAAATGTCTTGAAACAATTTCTAATTAAGATGTACTATTATGTAAATG